CTCTTGTTTCAAGCTCCTCCTCAGCCGGTGGAGTTCCACGAAGAAGGAGCAGCCGAAAAACAAGAATAGCGCAATGCTGGCCACTTGCAGCGCTATAACAGTAACTGTTGTTAGATCCCAGGTGGCATACGGCTGCAGCTGAAGAATCGCAGACACGCCACTCGAACAACTCGTTTCACCGCAAATATTGAAGGGCGCGTGTGCGCATTCCTTTGCCAGCCGTCTCGTACGCACAAGGACTCACGCTGAATGCTTCCACATAAAAGTTTGGCGAAATGCTGCCTCCTCGGTTCCTGGAGAACTTCATGCGCGCTTCCAACATAAGGCTGGTATAATTTCGATTCAACAACACAACGTGAAATGTCAGCTCCGCGACACTGTCCCTCAAGACGTTCCCGTCCGCAAGTGTTTTCAGAAATTCTTTGAATGTAGCTGCTTCAAACACCGGCTGATATTCACAGTGCAGCGATTCGCATGAAAAACCTAGCTCAGTAGGAAATGACGTCTCCTGGCGGAGAGTTAGGACCACACGAACAGAGCGTGTAGTTACACTGCTGTTCCAATTATAGAGTACGAGCTGCAGATACGCGTCGCCTGCAAATGAGCCAACAAGACCACTGGTATTACAGGTGCCTTTATGCCCAAGGCACATTGCAAGTGGGGACTGCGAACACGCGGGATCTAACTCAACAGCTGTACCCTAGAAGAAAATATCAAGCCGTGTGGAGAAAACGCGATTGCCTTACCATCGGGCTTAGCTAGCTGTGGGAAAGCCTGGCCAACCAGAGGCGAATTAGAAGGGGAGGCTAGGAAGGCCATTAATCCGTCGTCAGCTACTAGCCAACTATACAAGTCTCTCGGTGTACTTATTCCGAAAAACGGCTGAGTGGGGAGGGTAATTGAAGCGTCAACATCGGAAGTACCTACACATCACGGTTCATAAAGGCAGGCATGGGATGTGGCTGTATTTCGGCTACGAACTGTGAAACCTTCACCTCAACAGAGCTTAGTGCCCTGGAAGGTAGCAAAAGTCACTGACAAGCATCACTGGGCTGTTGTGATAGTTATACACTGCTCTATATGCCGCACCTAGGGAGGGATCCGCGCACGTAAACATGAGAGGGGTTAGTGGGAATGTCGTACTAGAGGCAGCTCGGTCTGCCATTTCTCTCATTTCTGCTGCGGCATCCACCGAGAGCTGCAAAAATGTGCAGGCACTCACGTGACGTCAAAGACATATTTCCTTCCGAGAGAATCAGCTGGCATGCAAGCATCTAAGAGGTGCAGCTTCACAAATCTGCATACCCATCCAGGTATGTGCTTTCTCTGGTCAAAAGGAAGCAACTCAGCTTCTCACTCACTTGCAAGCTAACCGTTCCAATTAGGATTGCAACAAAGGCGAGTACAAATAGCTTTTTCCAGGCGTCTTGATGGTCTTTCTGCATTTGGTGTCTCACCAAAAGGTAGACCTGCACGAGGGTTGGCCGCAGAATACTTGAGCCGGGCACGCTGCGCAGACCTGTATGTGCGTGTACTGTAGATCTATCTGCCTGTTATTCAAAGCGACGACGAGGCAGATACTGGCATTTAGTCTGGATTGTGCTCTAGAACGTCAAGTCATAGAGCAATGGGTACCTTGTACCTTGGCAACAGTGGGAGCTGGAGCCTTCGGTATTGTATTTGCCGCAAGATTAGGAGTGAAATAGTTTTCCTCATTGCTTGCGAAGTCTGTCGCGTCAAATTCTTTGAAGAAGCCATANCACAAGGGAGAGGGAGCTCATAGGGAGAAGCACTTCATGCCAAACAGGTACATCTTCAAACTTGACTGTCGCATGCCCAAAAGCCCTTTGCGAATCCAGGGCTGCTCTTGTATCTTACGCATGCTTGCTGGGTCAACGTAGAACCCTCTTCCAACTTCAGGCTGTGCTGCATATAGGCAAAGCGGATCTTCCATGCCAATTGCTTGCCAAACCCATGGGGGATATTGAGGAGGGGTATCGTCGTCTTCATCGGAAAACGAGTGGGAATCCTCCTTGCTGTCACGCATGTAATAGTTGCTTCCAATTTTCTTACGCCTGTGCAGGCCTTTTTTTTTGTTTTCCAGTGCTTTGAGCTCCTTTGCTTCCCTCATATCATCTTCAAATTCTTCTGCAGCAAGCATCTCGAGCCTTTCTTTCGTCCGGCATCCACACAGTGCCTTCCAAAATCCTGTCCACATTTTTGTGAGTGCATACCTTAGCCACTCGTACCGCGTTCGAAACAGGCCCTGAAAAAATGCGAAAGAGCACCTGAGCCAGCGTGAGGTGACCATTACAAGTGGCTAGCTCACGCATACTTCGTGGATGTAGATGTGAGCTTGGCCTGATTAGTGTCAGCATTATATATCGGCTTAAGTGAGAAGTTAGCTGCACTTATTAGATTGCGGCAATTCAGCTTGTTGAACGCGCAGCATTTGGGTACCTTTTCGTCCAGATTGTACTTGATAAGGCTGTGTTCTATGGACTGGGCACAAAAGTCGTACTTTCTCAACACCACTGCAGTCAGGAAAGTGAACCCGAACACAGAGAAGAGAAGGAAAAGAGGCACAAAGAAGATTCCTGCAAGGACAGGATTGCAAGAGGCCATTGCATAAACATCATAGTTCCCAAGAATTCCACCCAACAAGAAAGCCGCCGACGTTGTTAAGCTGCACCACACCAAATGAAGGCACAAAATGCTAAAAGGAAGATGATGTCCCAACACCCGGTGCAACTTTACCGTCGTTTGTCGGGCGCTCAATTGTAAATTTCGATACTGAAGCTGTGTCCTGGGGCTACACGTTCATCGCATTAAGTTCCAATCAAACGTGTCGTGAACATACCTTTCATAGTAGCCAGCGAAACTGTCGGCGGATGCACCGAATGACACGTTGCCAAATGAGACGAAGATGAGGACTATTGCCAGCATTCCTAAGCTGCAAGCGAGTATGTACAACTTGACTTTACGGAATGCCATTTGCAGGGCCTTCGTTTCTATCCCTGCAATGGCAGGAAGGAGCCGCGTTATCACTATGCACCCTGTCACTGCCGCAAGAGAACCAAATACGATGCAAGCCTGTTGCGCTGCAGCATTGGAGCGAAACAAATTATCATAGTCGCTGATCAGCTGAAAAAACCCTGTTTCATTGGTTGCGCTGGGCGCTCCCGAAACGTTGTAATATCCATTGTCTCCTGCCGTTATCTCGATCTTTGGGGCAAGAAGGGCAATAATTTGTGCACTGGCAAAAGATGCGAGAAAACACATCAGCATCGAAATATGGAATAACAGAAACATCGTCCAGCCTCCCTTAAGCCAAGACTTAAAACCCAACTTCTTCATTTCCATGTACTCGCACAGCAAGTACAGAAACATGAACGCCAGCATCAAACCCAGTGACGTATAGCGCACCAAACCATCAGACTGTG